TCCAACAGTTTGGATTTGTCGTTTGCTTAAAACTTATATTCTAAAAAACCAGAAAAATAATTTCGAATTGTTTCAATTGAGTTGAAAATTTGTCAAAAAAATAATTCGGCTGTAGAACCAGTCTACTATATATAGTTTTTTATATAGGGGATCATTTTTTATCTAAGTACCAATATGCTTTACATAAAATAGGAGGTCCTTATTTCATCATTACAAACAGTAATCTTAAATATATGATGCAAATGGCGAAGTCTAGCTGATGGCCAAGCAAATCAACCACGATCTTTAAAACTAAACGATAAAGCAAAATGAAGTTTGAAATACTACCAGAATTTCCGTTATTGTGAATTCAAAAGATACTGTTTGGAAAGTGGCTCAAATTCCTGATTACTTGTATTCCTAAAAAATGAATGCTTGTTAAGAATATTAATTTGCTCCATAAACGCAATGCCGAATGTGTGATTATAATCATTTTTACAAAAGAGAAGAAACATTGGAAATATTATTGATTTTCACATTTGATAGGGCCAGTTACGTGATTATGCTTTCTGATATTAAAAGTTGAGCTTCCACATGCATTTTGAATTTTAGTCTGTGAGCAGAAATTTGATCTAAACGTTTTTTGTTCTAAAGCTGAGGAACCTGTAGGTATCTGTCACGCCTATGTATGCAGCGCGGTGCACATAATACATACAGATCACCGGGTTGCCGTTAAAATGCAAATAAAAACCAGTATTAATATCTTGTTTGGATCTCCAGCAACAGACGCATCTCTTTTTGATAAAAATAAAACGCGCCACTTAAAATTTCCGAATTAAGAACTCGAATTTCTTGTATCTCACGAGTGTACACAGCGAATGCACTTGAAAGGAGAACCATCCCTACCAGTTGAGCAGCTGAGCTTTAAAAGAATTCCATTAACAAGCAAGCACAAAAACCTGAAGAAGATTAACATAACAGATAATGATTTTTTTTTGGTTATGCGATAGCACATATTATGATGCAGAGTTCAAATAACATAAATACATAATGTTGAATGTTATACCGGCTTAAATGATTTTTTTTCAAATGAGATACACGTGCAACCTTCCAAAGCTTGTCCTTGTGCATGGACACAATAACATGTAACGAGGATCGTGGATGTACACACAGCAAGGTAGAAAAATTGATGAAAATTCGGTTTTCTCAATGTTTAGCTAATTTCCGGAAAAAAAAAACGGGGTTTTGACAAATAAACTGAAAATAACATTGAAAATCTGATTTGATACATGGTTGGTTTTTAAGTTAGCAAAAGATTGGTTTTTTCTGCTTGACCATACAAGATTTATGATAAATACATAATGTTGAATGTTATACCGGCTTAAATGATTTTTTTTCAAATGAGATACACGTGCAACCTTCCAAAGCTTGTCCTTGTGCATGGACACAATAACATGTAACGAGGATCGTGGATGTACACACAGCAAGGTAGAAAAATTGATGAAAATTCGGTTTTCTCAATGTTTAGCTAATTTCCGGAAAAAAAACGGGGTTTTGACAAATAAACTGAAAATAACATTGAAAATCTGATCTGATACATGGTTGGTTTTTAAGTTAGCAAAAGATTGGTTTTTTCTGCTTGACCATACAAGATTTAGGAATCTAGAAAAAATCGTGGTTACGTAAAAAGTGACAGTTAAATTTAGCACAGTGTATTCTTGATTTGCGTGGCAAGCAGAAGAAAAAGAATGTCTATGTCTATATGGTGACTAAAAAGGAAGTGGGTAGAAGAAATAGGAAATCATTTCACTGGTAGATGTTTTTGTCAAGGTAACGTAGTTTGGTCTGGCTGCAAACATCCACAGAGGTGGTCTGAATGAGGATTTAAAGAAGGGGATAACCTTTAAAATATCTATTATTGATTGGCCACAGAAGTAGAAAAATTTCAATTTATATTGAGTTGATATATTGATACTTTGGCTGCTACTAGGCGTGAAAAAGAAAATTTCTTGATTTACGCTGTTAATAGCGGCATTGAAGGTACTTGGAATGCCTTAAAACAATTAAGTGTGTGGTCGCGACGTAAAACCTCATATCCAGCTCATTTAAGTAATCCTGATGATCTAAATAATCACTTTGCATCGTATTCAAATTCACAATGTGTTACATTTGTTTGCGATAAAGAAATCGAATATTATTCGTCTAATGTTCATAATGCTAATTTAAGCTTCCAGTTCAGGATGATAACTGTCGAAGAAGTCCATTTTGCATAGCTTACAATCAGCTGCTTATGGTGCTGATGCCATTAATGCAAAAAAGCTCAAATTGTGCAGCCCTTTCATTGATAAGTATGTAGCGCATATTATCAACTGCTGCATAGAGAGGTCTTATTTTCCAATTCTATCGAAATATGCTATTGGTATCCCTATCCCTAAAATAAATAATCCTGCGGAATTTTCCGATCTTAGGCTCATATCACTTCTACCAGCTGTCTCAAAAATTTTTGTAAAAATATCAAATTCATGAATACTTTTCAGTCCATGGTCTACTTCCTGACTGCCAGTCTGGGTTCAGACCTGGAAGAAGTACTGAAACATGACTAGCTACGGTAACCTCAGATATTTTAATGGCGTATGATCAAGGTATGTCTAGCGCTCTTGTTCTTTTGGATTTTTTCAAGGTTTTTGACACCATCAATCATTAATTGTTGTGCTCAAAGCTCAAATACTGACCCCTCACTGTTTTTAATGTGGAGATACTTAGGCGCTCCCAGAAAATTCATATTGATGGTTCTTATTCGGCAAGCACAGATATCCTGTCAGGGGTGCCACAAGGATCCATACTTGGGCCCTTGTTATTCATAATATACTCAGCAGAAATCCTAAGAAAGATACAAAGCGTCAAGGTACAATCGTACGCTGACGATATTCAAGTTTACTTTAGCCTATCCATGAAAGACAGAGTTGCAGCAGAACGAACTCTGAATGAAGAGCTTCAATCGATAAACACATTATCAGAGCTGCACTACCTAAAGCTCAACTCTAAGAATATAAAAGTAATACTTTTTGGCAATAAAAATAGTATAAATATTTTAAAGGACACTCCTTCGTTGAAAATTACAAGCGAAGTGCTTAGTTTCTGTGATTCTTCTCGTAATTTAGGCTGAACTGTTGATCCAAGCCTTCGTTTCTCACTCCATATTCAAAAGTTTGTAAATAAAGCATTTAGTTCCCTCAAAATCATTTATAGCAGTCGACATTTCCTGAGTAAAAAACTAAAAAAAACTGTATGTGAGACCTTGGTGCTTAGTAATTTCAACTATTGTAGCTTTATTGGGCCGTGCTTGACTAGTGCTGACATAACGAAAATACAACGGGTTCAAAATAGCTGCTGTAGGCTGGTACGGAATTAGGAAGTATTAGTATTAAGAATATTGATATCAAAAGTGTGGCTAGATCTGTTTAACATAGAATGTGTTGTTCCTTTCTTTGTACGCCCTGTATAGTTTTCAAAAGTTAAAAGCATAATCTGTACATGTATGTTTTACTGCGAATGCCTGTGTTACTCTATGTTATTCATCATATGAATACTTTTTCTGTTGATGTTGACATATGTAATTATACATTATTCGCTTATTTGGGTGCTCCCCTACAGTGGTTGAGTTGAGTAGTTGTCAGCTAGACTTCGCCACTGGTATTATATATATTTTTTTATTACATATAAGTACTGAATTTTCTTTCAATATAAAAGACGGTTTATTATTATTATATCAATTCAATGGGTTACATTTCCTACTGTTCTTCACCGTTAGAAACGGTGGCAACATGAGGTCATTTCCCTTCTGCATATGTACATATCCAAATCAGCCAGCTGTATATTAGCGATTACCCTAAACAGATAAAAGCGTTCTTCCTGTACACTTTTTCCGACCGATGGCAGTTAGTCCGCCGTAACGAGCAACTTTAAATGAATACATTGGTTAAATGAGCTCTGCCGGTGCTTCCTTCCCGATGGAATGGCTGCCCTGCCAATGGCCCCCCTATACCCATGGTAATCGTTCGGTAGCTAGCACCTGCTTTTGTAATGGCACCTGTATTAACGAGGCGTCACCGTCAGCTGAATTTTCGAATACAGGATGATCCAAACCAAATTATTCAAAACAAAAGCACTGTAAGTGTAATCGTTTTCCATTTTATGGTTATTTAATAGTAATCCACGAATAAAGCTGCACTGCACGCTCATTGACGGGAAGGGAAGCTGGATTCCGTTACAACTAATCAAACGACGGCCCGCACACTGGAGCGGAGAAGGGAAGAAACGCGTTACGTTTGACAAGTTAATTCTATAATAAATGTAGTGCTTAACCTTATTCGAAGTTCATTACAGTGATTGTTATGATACTCACTTTCGTCTTGGTACCAGACTATAAAAATATATTACTAGTTATTACAGCATTAATTGTATACAGCAGAAATCACATATTCCATGTAAGCAATGACTTTATGGCCAGACGAGAAGTCGTTTAAAATCGAATATTCCAAATGTATCATACATGCGTCGCTCCCCTTGCATAAGGGCGTATCTCATTTTTTCGTTAAATTTAGATATTGACGGATTCGGCATCACATAGCTCTAGCTTACCATGTGACAAAAGGACGTATCGCTTATTTCACTAAAGTCGCTGCTACATGAAAACGTATCTCATTTTCAGTCAAAAATTGTCCTTACATAAAGGCGTATGCCGAGATATGCTAATTTGTATAATGGAGTTGTCCTAAACAGAATCTGTCATACAGGCGTATGTCGAGATGCGTTTGTTTGACGAAGTCATACCGACCATCGCGTCGACACAGGAGCAAGTAGTTGTATTGATACGCTGTTGAATACCACTAGTTTTAGTTATTCGTATTGGTGTAGGAGTTGATAGCTGGTAAGGCACATTGTATTTATAGTGATATTCCATCAAAATGCATGCATGTTTCTTTAATACTCGTACTTGCAGGTTCCAACGTATATAAGGGATGGATGTATTGGTGAAATGGGAAGATAACACTCTAAATGTGGTTGAGTCTGATAAGTTAGTACCTGTTATAGCAGGGCAAAATTTTTGTAAAGGCGTAATGGTTAAAATGCTCGTCGGCGGTATTTGGTATAATGGTCAGGTGATCGACACAGAAGCAACTTCCACTTCCGAGAGTGAAAATGAACCATTATCTAAATATCGTATAGTTAGTATTTCGAGTGACGATGAGCCACTGTCAAAATATATGGCTGTAAGAAATCAAACTCATACACCTGTAGATCAAGACTCAAACAAGAGAGATAGTTATGTGGAACAGGCCTGCGAGGTTATTTCCTATCAAGCAGAAGTACTTAGTAGTTGTTTTTGTTGCTCTACTCTGCTGTGCATCGACCATTTTCAAAGTGAAGAGATATCCTGTATTTCTCACAAAAATCGAGCAAATGAAGATAACATAGTTCCAGTGACTTCACTGAACGTTGATAGGTATGTGGAACAGTCCTGTGAGGTTATTTCCTGTCAAGCAGAAGTATTTAGTAGCTGTTTTCGCTGCTCTAGTCTGCTGTGCTTCGACCATTTTCAAAGTGAAGACATATCCTGTATTTCTCATAAAAATCAAGCAAATGAAGATAACATACTTCCAATGGCTTCACTGAACGTTAATGACTCCATATCAACAATGTATGCCGTTGAAGGTGCCCCAGAGAGAAGCCAAGACCATCAGTTCAGAACCAGTCGAAACTTGCAAAAACTCTGAGAAACCAAGGCAAAGAATATTACAGCATACGCAGCAAGAAAATTGTACCAGCGTGGAAGCTTTTAGGTGGATGTGAAAGTGAAACATGTGTGAAAACCGGAAAACAGTGCAACGCGTTAAGTGAAGAAAATAGAGCGGACATATTTGCAACATTCTATGCACTCAGTGATTTACAGCTTCGTAGGGAGTTCATTGGTCGCCACTGCGAATTAGTTGAAGTCAAACAAAGGACAACTAATACGGCTTCCAGAAAAGCAAAAGTCTTCGGTACTTCCTATCCTTGAACGGAAACAAAGTTAGAGTGTGTAAAAATTTTTTCATCAATACATTATCAATATCAGAAAAATTTTTACGTACGTCTTTGTCGAAAATTACAGCAACTGGTGTTATCGAGAAGGAAAGACGTGGTGGTAGGTACAAATCTTTGTCAGATAAAGATAGAGAATTGAGGCACTCAGTTCTAGAGCACCTTAATAGATTCCCTAAGATGGAATCGCACTGCTGTCGGGAGAATTCATCCCGGCAGTATTTATATCCTGATTTAACTTTACAAAAAATCTATGAGCTATACCGAGATGAAAATAAATGGAGAGACACGGCCAGCATGAGTACATACGCTCGTGTATTCAAAACTTTGAATCTGTCCTTCCACCATTCTAAAAAGGATCGATGTAGCTTGTGCCTTACCTACAGAAATGGCAATGATGAAAACAAAATCACTCTAGAGGAAAAGTACAATAAACATATTTCAGAGAAAAAAAGAGTACGTGAAATAAAACACGCATGTAAAAGCAAAGCTATAGAAACAGGTACTCAAAATATTAGTGCTGTATTTGACCTCCAGCAAGTCATATACTTGCCTATTTTAAACGACAGTAAAGTTTTCTATAAAAATCGTTTGCTGAATTTCAATTTCACAATATACAATCTAGCCTCAAAAAACTGCTATTGCTACACTTGGCATGAGGGTATCAGCAAAAGAGGAGCAAGTGAAATAGCAACTTGTGTTTATAAGTTCCTATTGCAGTGCGATAAGCAAGGAGCTAATGTTGCTAGTTTATTTGCAGATGGATGTCAAGCACAAAATAAGAATTATGTCATTGCAGCCATGATGGTCTACTTCATAAAGAATAGCTCAAATATCTCCGAACTATCTTTAAGATTTTTTGAATCCTATCATGGCCAAAATGAAGGTGACTCAGCTCACAGTGCCATAAGCTATGCACTAAAAAAATGTGGAAATATTTGTGTGCCTTCGCAATTACTTCCCATATTTAAGCTGGCAAGACGAAGACAGCCCTACGAAGTTACAGAAATGAATCATGAACAATTTTTGAATTTCAAGAGTGTGGCCAAAGAATTACGTATTCTTACCATCAGAAAATATAATGAAAATCAAAATCCTATCAACTGGACAGAAATGATGGAACTAAGAGTAGCCAAAGATTCGCCTGACATTATATACTTTAAAACAAGTCACCTGGAGACCACATATCGATCAATCTCTTTGAAACGATCGCATTTTGGTGTGCTTGATAACAGTGTACCTCGACTAAATAAGACACCAAGCAAAATCTCTTTAGTAAAACATATTGATTTAGTTTCTTTATGTGAAGGACCAACTGCAGCAGTTAAAAATCCAGAGCATGTGTCATTTTATAAAAATCTAGAGTATGAAAAAAAATAATTAGAATCTTACATATTTATATCAGTTTTCCTTTTAGATTATAGTTACAGGATTTTAATTAAGTTCTAATTTGTCTTTCGGTAACTTAGTTTTAAAAAAATGTTGAGTTGAGAACATTGTTTTCCTTAAAAGTTGATGTAAACGATTTCTGGTTTGATCTGATAAATGGATGCTAATTTTGTTCCAAAATTTACACTTGTCAAAGATATATAAGCTAAAGACTAACAGTTTTACAGTCAGACTAGTCCAATGGATTTTGATTTAGTTATAATTTGAATCCTGATATATGTTGGTAATAAAGATACATCTGGGTTTTTCTTTGAAAGGTTGATCTACCTGGAAAAATCCTTTTAGTTTAAGGTATAATAACTGTACACCGTATATATTCTGATCAAAAATATATCACTTGAATATATGAGTTGTGTCTCGTTTGTTCGCTATGTAGCAAAAAGTAACTTCTAACAATGAGGCGTATCTCATTCAAAGTAAGAGTAGTAAAAAATGCCAAAAAAGTATGAGTATGCTGAAGTAAGAAGCACATAAAAAATAGGCTACCTTAACCACATAACAAAAATTACACCGCTCCCTTGAATATGTTCCGGCTACCACCAATCCAAACTTAAAACATAACTTTGGATGCGCCTCCTGAAAAGTTACAGTTTTTGAGATACGTCCTTATGCAAGGGGAGCGACGAATGTATTCTACATAATTCCTAAAAGATTGATAAGAGAATGGCAGCAGCTTAATAAAATTCTTGTACCAGTAACATCTAAGTGAAATTGACAGCCTTCTTAAGAACTCTAGGTCAGCTCAAGTGGAAGGCAAACTGTGTTTCAAAATCAAGGTCGACCAAAATAGGGTACTAACTCCATCCGTATATCAATAATTTCACAGATGACTTCACAGACCTACATTCAGTATTTCAAAATTATTTTATTTTGCTTGTACATTTACAAAGATTTACTAACAATAACCATGGAAAATCAGGAAACAATTCTCACGAATATCAATCCGTAATCTAACCGAAAGGTTGCTGGAAGCATTGAAGTATAAAACATTACGAAGAATCACTAAAACTTAAACATAATAAAAACACATTTTTTAATTCCTATAAGCTTCAATCTTTTTTAGTGGAACCGTAATTGACTAATTCGGAATTACTATTCAATTTCATTGTCTTTTTTATTGAGAATTGGTCGTTGGATTAAGCGTGACACCTGTTCGAAACGTTCAAAAATAAGACATCTTTATTGTAATTCATACAATAGTGGTATAGTTCCTTCTAATTAATTTTATAAAAATGGAATAATAAAAATGTAAACTGCGCCACCACAATGTAGGATTAGAGAGTAAAGTAGTGAACAACCAGCATAGTAGATGATAAAATTGAATCATGACGATTGGTTTGTCTATACTTGGAATAAATGGTGGCACTTTATAAATAAATTTGAATTAGGAAATATAAACTGGCTAAGCTTAACGTGACCATTTATTTTTTGCCTTAAAGCCGTATGATCGAGAACTACTAGCAGACGAATCCTAGAAAAAAAAATACAGAAAAGTTAACATCAGACTACACCAATCTGATTCTGAAATGTGAATCAAAAGTTAGACATGTAACAACACTCCGTAAATAGTACTTATAGTAGAAGCATTTATTGACTGTTTTAATACACAAAATTCCTAGCTACTCCTGCTAATATAAAATTACTACAAATTTGATGACAGAATAAAACCAAAGTGGTTAAAGATTAATGGAGAAGGAATATAAAAAGAAACAGGTATCAACAGTTGAATTGTAATAAGGCATGGTGAAGTGTAAGAAAATCTATCAATACCAAGAATCTGCCCTCATCTATCAATATTCCAGTTGCTGCATTTTGAGTTGAAACATGAAGAACGACCTCATCTATAGAGAAACCATATAACCCTGCCACTATAAATAAAGGAGTATTCACGGAAAGCAACCAATCAAAAGAAGTATTGATCTCGGCATTACTTAACCATTACCTTAGTCCCCCTCGCGCTTATCCCTTTTATCTAGGCCACCCTAAGGAAAGCCACGCGTGCATCGTATATCTATGCTGGATGCACACGCACACATACCAAAAAACAGTCTCCCCCACCCTTTCCTTCCACCCCTTCCGCTTCGCGAATAATTAAACATGCCGAACACACATTTCTCAGTAGGATTAATCTAGAATGCGCTGGGAAATGGTCCTTGCACTAGGCAGCCGTAAGGGTGGAAATCGCGTGCCGGCGGCGTGTTTATACAAATTACTAACAATTTGTGTAGTGGATCATTCACAAGTAGGTGTGACGTCAGAGGTGGATCAATACGACTCGAGACGTATTGATGCGCATGCGCAATGTGCGACGTTGACAAATATTTGAGGATTTCTTTGAGAGAGGTATGTTTTTAGCATGACAAATTGAAGTTTGTTGCTCAATTTAATTTTTGATGAAAAGTATATGGTGCATGTAGATAATGTTGAGCAACCTGCGGGTAATGGACACCAGAAGGAGGGCCAGGAAATAATGTGAAATTATTTGTTTCGAAATAAAAAATGATGAAACTACTGTTGAAAGCAGTTAAGCATTCGATAAATTTTAGAAATATTTTTTCTTGTTGATTCAGACAAAATTAAATTAAAGTGAGTAACATTACCCACTAAGGGTTTGCAGCATGACCAGTGAATTCTATATAATGGTTACGGAGATAACGTAGTGACAATCGAGAGTTATGGTTGCAATTTGCTTGAGTAAAGGAAGGGAACTTGTTAGATATACAACATAAGTTGGTTTTCTAGATTCGAGGTGATTTGGCAACACTGGCGAGCAAGTTGAAATGACCACATGTCCGAATTGCGGCTGGAAGCACATCGGAGGTGGCTGCTCCGGTTCTTATGTAAACGGAGGGGGCGGCAACCAAACTGGGTGGGAAACTAGCGAGCTACAGCCAGACTTACATATAGGGATCTAAAATATCTCATTTCCGTCCGTTACTCTTCTTCAGCTCCTTCGAATAGAGAGAACCAAATTACGGTGGCATAAGTATGAATGCCCACCGCCTGTGCAGAAGGCTCTGTTAAAAAAGTGAACGAATTTTCCTTCTCTTAATACAACATGCAGACAGAACCTCCCCAGTTGTCTGCTGAAACAGTGAAATAAACTTCGTAGCACAGATGTTCGTCAAATATTACTTTTCTTTCCTTCAGCTCATTTGCCAAGTTCGTATAGCAGAAAAGCAGAGTAGATTGTAAGTCGTGTGGCATACCCACGTTGATATTGAGGGATTTCCACTTCTATAAACACGAACTATAAACCTTTTCAACATCAAGAGCGACTATGTTACGAGTACATGGACCTCCACAAGTGATTCGATGAACTCACTGCACAAAAGTGTGACGTTAGATAGGATGTCCTCTATTGATTTCGGATTGATGTCGGAAACCATTTTGCCTGTCGCTAATCAAGAGGTGGTACTTGAGAGATATTAGGAGATCTCTGTTGATGAACTACTACATTGCTTGCTGATGGAGTAGATAAATAATAATTTGAACGTGTTCTTCAGACGGGTTGGACATAAGTTCTAG